TCCTGCCGGCGAATATGATGATAGTGTCGGAGGTGGCGGAGAGCCGAGTGGACTTGATGATGAGCATGGCGGCCGTCTTGGTAGTCGTCGGCACCCTGAAGCTGAGCATGCGTCTGGAGAAGACCCCTGGTTGGACGGCAACAACCCCTGGAGCCGTAGCGCCATGCCTCGTGGCGGAGGCGGTGCCCTGCTGCACAAGACTCCACGGCATCACCATCATCAACATGTTGAACGCCGCGCTCATTTTGCGCCTGAGCGCGATGCTCAGCCTGCTGGAGATGCAGCCCATGGCGAAGCGCTTCATCGCGTCGCCGATCTTCTTCCGGACCTCGTGCAGGATTTGGCCGAGGCGCAACGCGCAATTGATCACAACCGACGACTGCGAGATGAATTGGACCTCCATGTCCAACGGCTTCCTGAGGACGCTGAATGGGCAATCGCCGCCTGGAGGGAGATGGCATCAGTACGCGAGCAATTGACCGCGGATCTGAGCGCTAATGAGGCCCGCCTGGAATCCGTTTCTCGCATATTGTACTCATGATGACGATGATGATGAGGATGATGATGACGATGACGATGACGATGACGATGATGACGATGACGATGACGATGACGATGACGATGACGATGACGATGATGATGATGATGATGATGATGATGATGATGATGATGATGATGATGATGATGATGATGATGATGATGATGATGATGATGATGATGATGATGATGGGTTCCTGTTCCTGCGCGGGGTGTCCAGAGAAAACAAAAACCCGCATAAGATGCATGGAAAACTGCTTCCGCTGTCGGGGACGCATGCCCCAGGGCGGCTGGAAGCAGACCTTTACGGTGGCATGTCGGGGCAGAACCATTACAGCCGTTCTGAGAAAGGCGTCCCCCACGGGGAACGGGCGACACACACGCTCTGGCGACGATTCGACGATGTTTTTATGCTCGGCCAAGACTCTTCAACATTGGCTGTACTGTACCCTCGTTTTTTCGGCGGGCTCGAGCAAAAACACTTAGATGTGGAGATGCCATGCATGCCGTCGGCGCTGCGGCACTGATGCCGAGAAGACAACGCAAGACAATGCATCCACCAACCTGCCCCAACCAACCATTCAACCAACCAACCAACCACTAAACCGTTCTGCGCCCGCTGAGAGGGGAGAGGCTCCCGCGCGCTGGCGCCGCGCAGGCGCACGGCGTTTGGCCAGCGATCGCCAAGACACTGGCGCCCTGGCACGGTGACGCTCCGGGCGCGCGCGCACGCGCACGCCCTCCATATGCGCGGCGCCGCCCAGGCCACCGAGCTTCTCCGCGGGGAGGCGGTGCGGGGGAACATGCGGCCCAGGAGGAAGGCGGCTGGGCCAGGCATGCGCCACGGCACTGCCTTGAGCCGCTGAGGTGGCGACATCCGAACCCTACCCCCACCAACCATCGATTCTCCCGAATCGGGAGGCGAGAACTGGAGGAGGAGGCCGCCGCGGCCGCTGCCCCCATCCCCAGGCCAACCGAGCGGGGAGGAGAGTGAGCAGCGATAGCCGCAGCAGCAGCAGCAGCACAGTCGAACTCTTCCGAGTCCGTGCGCTGGTCCTCCTCTTGGTAGTTAGGGTGTTCGACGAATTCCGAACCCTACCCCCGCCACCCATCGGGTTGCCTGAAGCGTTGATCGGCGAGGGCAGGGCTCGGGTGGACCGCTGCCTCCTCTGCCGCGCGGCGCCCCCCCTCACCTAACTACACCCCCGACTCGGAGCAGTGGCGGGCGGGGGCAGCCGCCGTGCCACGGCGAACGCCGCCACGGGGCGACGCGCTGCTCCTCCGCGCCGGGGCGCTGCGGAGCGAAGGAGTCGAGGCGGGCGGCGCCTGCATGGCCTCGCGCGCTCCCGGCGCCGGCGGCATCACCTCTGAGGCCGGCAGCGCCAGTCCACCCGCTGCCCAGGACCCCGATGTCGTATGACTCGCGATAACGCCTGTGACCAGCCCCGCCCCCGCCCCCATCCCCTCTGGTCACGTCACGATTCGCGCTGGCGCCGTCTGGGGATTGGTCATTCTTGAGCATTCCCAGGCGGCGCCAGCGCGAATTGTAACGTGACAGCCACACTCCCCCTTCCCACCCCTGGCCACGCCCGTTATCACCAGCGGATAAAAAATCAAATAACAAATGTCTACTGTCCACGTCCTCGGCGCCCACGGCGTCGCCGACGAGACAGGGAGCGGCATCGCCACTGCTGCCCAGCTCCTGGAGGCCACGGGGTGGCATCTAGAACGAAAGCCCTCGGCCCACCGCCGACGGCTCCAGCGACCAGCCGTCGTCGCAGCACTCCCTCGCGAGCGCCGGCCGCTCCTCGGCGGGCCGGGGCGCGGGGCGCCGAGGCACTGCTCGAGGGCGAGGTGCGGCCACGCGGGCGCGGGGCACGGCAGACTGCTCGAGAGCGCGGGCGCCACTCTCCCCGGCAGCAAGCGGAGGCCCACTGCGCACCAGGAGGGCGAGAGGAGGAGCGCGGGCACGGCCTCGGCGGAGGAGGAGGAGGAGGAGGAGGACAACCAGGAGGAGGAGGAGGAGGAGGAGGACAACCAGGAGGAGGAGGAGGAGGAGGAGGAGGAGGAGGAGGAGGAGGAGGACGTCTGGTAACGCTGGAGGTCTGGGTCCTGCGAGCGACAGCGGCGGCGCGCGCGCCCGGCGCGAGGATCCCGAGGCCGAGCGACTGCGCAGACACGGCCTCGGCGGGGCTCGTCGAAGGCGCGGGCTTTCGCCGAGGACGCGGGCGGCACCGTGCACCTTCGTCACGCGGCGCAGCGACGGGCTGGGACGACAAGCCGCTGGCGCACCTGGAGGACCAGCTGGGGCCTCGCGCCAAGAGCTGGGCGCAAGGGACGAGCGCGTGACTCGACGGCCGGGGGCGCGGGACAAAACCGGGCACACGTGCTCGAAAGGAGCCGAGAGGGGCCCGTCGAAGGCGCGGGCGATGCCCAGAGCCCTTCGCGTCGTGAAAAGAAAGATGGGATTTTTGCTATTTTCAGCCTCTGGGGGCCCTCGCTGGGCCCAGGGACCGTCAGAAAACGACTCGGGATGAAAAGCCGATCCCGGGGAGTGGGTCCAGTTAAAATCATGGCGATGGGGCTGGGAGTGGAGGGCGCAGACGGCATCCATCGCGATCGGAACGGGGCAAGTGGAGACAACGGCAGTTCAAAATCGGTCCCCAGACCCCCCCGCTGGGCTCCAACGCACCAGCTTTCCGAACTGCGTCCAGCCGTGGTAACGAGGGCCCCCCCCGAAGGCCAACTACCGTCGCCTCAACTTTCAGCTCTCGGCCGTTGGCGGGACCCGGTTTAGTGGGACCTGGTTTAGTGATGCGTGCCGAAAGACGACCCCCCGCCCCATTCCACCAACCGGAACTGCCGTCACCCGACGAAGCACCAGCTACGGCTGACTCGGTCCAGAGATCCTGGCCAACGTTTTGGGCCTCGCGGCCCAACCCTAAACGCCTCCCCTTCATTACCCGGGGTCCTGGCCTTATCCGAAGCTCGCCCTCCTCTGAGCCGAGGGCGCGGGCCCAGCGGCACCCAGCGCCTGCACGGCGGAGCCGCCTGCGCCCGCGGAGCCGCCCGCGGTGGTGGGCGCAGGCGGCACCCACACCCCCGACGTCATGAGTTGTTCATATAACGTCGATCCCCGGAAGTCTCGACCCATCCCCCAGGACCGGCTTTTCGTCCCGAGGCGTTTTTTGACGGTCCCGAGGCCGGCGAGGGGCCCCCCGAGGCCGAAAATGACAAAAAACATCCCGCCATTATGTTTTCGTTGCTCGAGGGGGTCTGGGCACCCAGCGCCTGCGCCGCGGATCGGCGGTGCGCAAACATGGATTAGCGATCCATGGATTGGGCGCGCGGTCGCCCCTCGCCCGGCGGCGGAAACCCACGATTTCCCATGGAAACGGGACCCGTCGCTAATCCACGCCCCCTTGATCCATGTTTGCGATTGCCTGACTAAGTCGGCCTTTGTGTGCCGCCTCTGCCGCAAAAAGAAACCAAAACGAAAACGGCCCACGAACTCGCCACAACGCCGTGCAGCTCGCGCCAAGCCGTGGGTCGGGCGCGTCCCCCCACAGGCGGATTCTCGTCCATGTTTGCGATCGCCTGAGCGGAGCCGCCCGAGCTGCCGCGGGCCCAAGGGGCTCCCCCGCCAGCTCGTGGCAGAGCGCGCCGGCACGCAGGCGGCGGGCGTCGGCCCCGCCGGCGCGGCCGGCGTGCAGTCTCCTGCGGAGGCCACGGGCTCCGGCGGCTGCGGCTGGCGCCGCCGCTGGCCCTGCTCGCTCCTGGGCTCGACCCACGTGACACCACTGAGGAGTGAAGGATCGGAGGAGGGTGAGGAGGAGGAAGAGGACGAGAGGAGGAGGAGGAGGAGGGGCAGGCAGGGGAGGAGGGGGAGGAGGAGGAGGAGGGGTGGAGGAAGGAGTAGGAGGAGGAGGAGGAGGAGGAGGGAGGAGGAGGAGGAGAGGAGGAGGAGGAGGAGGAGGGGGGAGGAGGAGGGAGAGGGGAAGGAGGAGGAGGAGGAAGAGGAGGAGGGGAGTGAGGAGGAGGAGGAGGAGGAGGAGGAGGATAGAGTGAGGAGGAGGGAGAGAGGAGGAGGGAGGAGGAGGAGGGAGGAGGGGGGGGGGGAGGAGGAGGAGGAGGATGCGGAGGAGAGGAGGAGGAGGAGTGGAGGGAGAGGAGAGGGAGGAGGAGGAGAGGAGGAGGAGGAGGAGAGAGGAGGGAGGAGGTGGAGGAGGGAGGGGGAGGAAGAGGGGAAAGAGGAGGAGGAGGAAGAGGGGAAAGAGCAGGAGGGGGAGGGAGGAAGAAGAGAAGGAAGGAGGAAGAGGTGGAGAAACAGGAGAAGGAGGAGGAGGAGGAGATAGGGAGAGAGAGAAATGAGGAGGAAGGAGGGAGGGGAAAGGAGGCGCAATCTCACTGGCTGTGGTTCAGGGTGCTCTGAGCTGCGCGCGCGCGCGCACCCCCCTGCTCGCCCGCAAGAGCATCGCGCCAGCGATGCCAAAGTAGAGCGCCCGGTATAGCAGGGCCTGCGGGGGGGCACCGTTCTCACCACGGAGGGGGAGGATGGAAGAGGACGGAAGAGCGATGGACTAGGACGAGGAGGAGGAGGAGGAGGACAGTGACGAGGGCATCCCCCCTGGGAACTGGAACGGTGGAGAGGACCCCCCCCGAGGAACCAAAAGAAACGGGTAGCAACCCAAGAATTGACACACCTGTTTTTCTCAGCAGCTTACCTCTACAGCAAGTTGCAGCTACAGCACAGGCCAGACTACAAATGTGCCAGCCTAACAGCATATGATGGCCTTACAAAGCAGACCCTCACAGCTGAGCTAATCAGCAGCTGACGTTTCAATCCTGCATCTTGCATCAATCACTGCTCTCTTTCAGTGGTGCCGAGGAGGTGGGGATGGAGGTGGGCGCGATCTGAACCTTCCAGCAGCTGTAAATTAAAACCAACACATGCGTCAACCACGGCTCTCTTTTATTGCTTGTCTAATGTCACGGCTATCCGTACTTATTGCAGCTTGCCATTCCACCAAGTTGCAACAACAGCACAGGCCAGTTTTCAGATGTGCCAGCCTTATCTCGGCCCTTCACAGTGTACTCTTTTTCTCAGCATGCACTATCGTCCACAGCCCACTTCAGCCTTAGTCTAGACCGCCATCTTCCAGGCCCCCCTGGACCCCAGGGTTTGGCCCCACAACTTCAGTGATTTCACACTTGCCATACTGCAGCGATAGCGTTTTCTGCTTTGACGTATCATGCCAGGCTGGATTAATGTAAACACCTCTGCCGCGAATAGCCCAGCCCAGCCATAAGGCGCCAGCCTAGAAGGTTTAGATCAACACGCATTGCTGCTAGTACCGTCGCCTGTGCGTCGTCTTGTCTCTTCATTAGTTGTCCAAAGCTTGACTACTATGGTGGAGTTGGGGAGGGTGTCTATGGGGTTAGAAGTGAGAAAGCGGCGTAGCTATCCGTAAGGCAGCGCCGACGGGACTCTGACGCAAACATTTAGCATGTCAGACTTGTCGCCACCGTGTTTATCGATCCCTCGTCTCATCGATGTCGTCTTGTTCGAAAGTATGTTTGGTCATTCGGTTCGTTTCGCTTCGGTCCCCTCCTCCCCGGCAGCCTGGCTGGCGCATACTCTTTGCTCTCGAGGGTCCCTCGTCTTCTGCCTCACCTTTTGCGCCTGTCCTT